ATAGCAATTTTTTTTTAACCGAATGAGACTTTCATTTATCTTGCCTATGTCTTCTCTTTCTCTCTGAATTAAGATCAGTTCCTAGATATTTTGTCTTGGTCCACATACATTTTTAAGAGGGCAGTACACTTCCTAGGCTTCCTATTTGCTTTGTTTTGACAAGGCCTATGACATTCAGCAAAGCAAAATTTATGTGCTGTTTGTTTGAGAAACTGCTACAGAAGCCGGCCAAGCTGGCAGCAGCTAACTAAAGTGAGGGGTAGAAGATTTAATAGCAGGGTCATTGAACAGACATTAGATTTATGCATTTTTATTCCAGATCTTTCAGAGTTTAAGAAGTGCCCTTCTGCCTTTGTTAAATGTATTATCTAGGCAGAAAAATAAAACACAAATATGTATCTGGAATGTATTTGGGGCTGGCTTTTAGATGCACTGTAATTTCATTAAAAAGGTAAGAATAAAAACCTTTTAATGTGGGTTAATGAGGTCAACTTCCTATTGACTTCTTTTTAGGTTTCAGATTTTAAGATTCTGACAGTAGGTTTCAAGTAAACCTAATCAACTTTCTAATGGTTAGTATGGGTTTGTGTTTCAGTAACTAAACATGATCTCATCCTTCTCTGTGATCTACAAGCTGAGATAAAACTTTGAAATGTACTCAGTTTGTATCATTTATATCAACCTCAAATACTAGTTTTCTTGGTGCAGAATTTGGATTACTTCAAGTGCTGCCCTCATTGAGGCATGCTGAAAATTAAAATGAGAAAAAATATTACTTTGAATAAAAGTAATTTGTGTGCACAACAATTAACAATTTTAATTTATATTTTAAGTTAGGAGAATATATATTCCTTCTTGGAATTCAGTGAATACTAAGAATTCTTAGAATTTAGGCTAGAGGTTAGAACAGTACTGATCAGCTTGTGAAATGTTTTCAGTTTTGACTTTAGATATTGGAATATTATAGCTCATTAGTCTAATTTTCAGCATGAATTCAGAAAATGTCAAACCAATACTTTCCATGTTGTATATTTTTTTAAAGTTGCCATTTGTGAAAATTTTGACATTGAGAAAAATTTAATTTTTATCTGGAGTTTGGAAAGATATGGAAATATAATGTAACTTGAGTCTCATTCTTCTGTATGAGTCCCTTGAAAAAAGCTTTGTTAATGTAGAGATTTTTGTTCTTAATTAAGAAGGTTAACATTTGAAACATCCTTCGGTGAAAAGATTTTTTTTTATCAGATAAGAATCTTTGGGCTATGCTATGTGCCAACTTTTTAAAACTGATTTTTTTGTCTTAAATGGAAAAATATATAGACATTCAGGAAGAATATATTTTCTTCAAATGTCCATATGTGCTTGCCACATCAAAAAACAAAACTTACCTTGCTAAATTTCTTTGTGACAGATTGCTTCTAAAGGCAGAGGGCCAGAGCTAGGGAAAAAGGTAAATTACTATATGATAAACATTAAATACATGGTTTACCTGTGTTGGCTATAAACAGTGCAGTGTAGAGTGCACATAGAAATTGTGTTTTGCAATCTGTCTCTTTGATTTTTTTTCCCAACATCATTAGTGAACAAATTTTAAATATTTACTTAAGAAAGATTGTATATGAATGTTTAATCTTGAGGTTTTTTGAGTTTTAAAAAAACATTCTTAGGTTTTTATGAAGAGCGATAGCATATAGAAAATTGAATCCTGACATAAAGTGTCCAGTGTTTCTAGTTATTAAATATTGGGAATCTACACAGGAGTGGCAGACCAAAGGGGGAAAGAGAGAAGAATAGGGATTGAAAACTATCTGAAGAACATGCACACAGCATCAGAATCTAGGTGTTATACTGGCAAAAACTCAAGCCAGAGCTTGAATTATATGTACTTAATCATTTAGTATGCTATTTAACAGAAACAGTGGCCAGAGTGAACTATAAATGCCTATGATAATAAAAGTCTGGTTTATTCACTGATTAAAATTTAAATAATGATTCATTCACTGAACGAAATTTAAATAATTTGTAACCATATATGCTAAATTCTGTGTTCTGCTTTTCAGTTCTGTTGTATAGCAGAGTGCTGCAAAATAAACAATTTATATAGCATTAATGGGAGGTATTCTGCATCCTTCTGTGAAGAATCATTGCCAAAATCTATTCTAATTAAAGATTAAGTACTGTATCATTAAAATAGGATGCTGTAAAATTAATTACTTACTGGGTCAAAAAGGTTGTTAAAAAGCTTAATGCATAATATCAGAAACAAGATTTCCCTACTCAGAAATAATGGTCTGTTGTCCTTTTGAATGGCATAAATGTTATGCTATCTTAATTTTGTATGTGTAGATAGATATCTTGCTTGTTTATAACCTGAAGATCTGTGATGGGCTAAAGCAAAATTTAACCAGATGCTAGCTTCATAAATTCTAGAAAGACCATATGATTTGCTTTTTTATTTCAGCAAGAATGTTAGAGAATGTCACATGTAATTCTAAGGATAAATGGTAGTGTGTACACACTGGTCAAATTAAAACTGAAATTGTTCTTGAAAATATTAATTCCTGTTAATATTAAATGTTTATGATTTTAATACATCCTAACATGTTTAAAACTTCATAAACCATTAACTTTTTCCCAGGCCATAGATGCAGCTATGAGAGGAAGCAAGAGGCACAGACTAAGCTATGTGATACTTAATTACTGTGAATATTAGAGTACTGTATCTTTTTTCTCTAACTCTGGCCCTGTGCCTTTAAATGTAGTCTGTCACAGAGAAATTTAGTAGGTTAATTTTTTTAAATTCAGAAATAGAGAATGGAAATGGCAGATATTTAGATATTTCTAAATATCTATGTATCAGAGCTGCAATATTAAAGAAATATTAGGAAGCAGTTCAGACATTCATTTAAAATGTCCCATTAGACTTTGGACAGTTACCAGGCAACATGTGCCTAGTGATATCAGTGTGGGCACTAAAGTGTCTAAAGATCTCTAGATGGTGACTGCAGACTCCAACATTAAATAAAAATTGGTTTTTTAAACCAAAAATTTGTGAAATTGTGGTAGTTTTTATTGTTAGATTTATATCCTGCCTTTTGTAGAGGAGTTCATATATAAGCATTCTTCCCCACAAAATAAAATTGTGAGGTATACTGGGCTGAGAGAGAAAGTAAGTACAAATCCACCCAGTAAGCTTATGTGGCTGGCAGTAGATTATAATATGGATCTCTCCTGTACCAATCCGACACCTTAATTACCACACTCGTCTGGCTCTCAGTTTTTGCATGAGATCTTGCAAGATTTATAATGATTATATCTAAAGTATAACATCGTCTTTATAAGGATGCCTGACGCCTGAAAAGTTTGCTGTCAGTGTAAGAGACAGCTTAGTTGGGCTCTCTTTCTCAAGAGGTTTGGGTTAAATTCCAAGATGCTCAGGTTGTTATGACTAATTATCTTCAGGGTAAAGCAAAAATAGTCAAAATCAGCTAGCAAAGTAAAATAAATTATGACTAAAACAAGTAGAATAAAATGAGACACGGAACAAATGGATTATCTTGTCAGCTCAAGATAGAAGCCCACAATTCAGTCTTTTTGCTACTCCCATTGCCAATTATGACAAGTCCAAAGGCTACTGTTGCTGCAAAATGCTAATCCTCTTAGTAGCTTGAGCATTATTTTTTTATTTTATTTATTTTATTTCTATAGCCACCCATCTCAACAAGTAACTCTGGATGGTGTACAGTCATAACTACCTTTTTAGTGAGATTCTTCAACCCATCATTCACTAACAAATGGCTTGATACTGAGTTTGGAACTTTATGACCCATTTGTCCTATTAGACGCCTGACTAGAAACTATGTTCACAAGTATAAGAAGTCTACTACGTCCAGCAACTAAGCCTAGAAGAAGAAGAATGAATCAGGCTGCCAGTGTGGGCGTTGGTAGTGAGGAGGGCATTGATGGAGCCCTATCTCCATATAGGCATGTTTTGTATAGGTAGAGTCCTGATAAAAATGTAGAACTCTGCAGAATTCCAACTGAGTTTCTGGGCAGGCACATAACTTATATATGTACTTTCACATATGACCACTTGAAGAACCACAGTTACAGTTAAGTGTGTGTGTGTGTGTGTGTGTGTGTGTGTGTGTGTGTGTGTGTTAAACATTATATTGATACAGTTTGTATCATGGTGAGTGAGGCTGGGGATAGTAGTCAAAGCTCCACTCATCCTGTGCTTGGCAGCTGTTTTGCAGTGATCAGTTGATAATAATAGATATCACAAGGAAGTTTTACCAAAAAGATTTCATAGTCCACTGTTTCTTGAGGATTATTTGTTTTCCAGCAGCCAGCTGAATTGCACAGTGAGATCATGGAGAAAGAAGATTTTTAATCCATCTTCCTTGAATCCTCCTGAGCAATGCAATTTAACAGGATTGTAGAAAAGGAGTTTGGCAGTAGCTGATGAATTAGATGAAGCTTCATGATGAGTGTAGAGTACTTCTCTTTTCTATTGTATAGAATAGGATTGGTAAATGTCATTCTAGGTGTCCTTATATTTTCAGGATCATCTTTTTTCATTTTAGTAATTTAGAAGAAAGGAAGCAAAGTGAACTAATCAAAATTGCAAATAGATATATCAGCTACTGGTATGATATAAACAGTTTTTCTTCAAATGGGTTAATTTTCAGTGCATTGCAGACCCCCTGTTAATTCATTTTGCTGAATAGGATAAATGCGATGGCCATTGCCTTCAGGTCCTGCTTCTGACTTTCAAGGGGAACATGTCAGGCTGGCGTTGGTAATACAGTTCTGATTTAGACAGACATTTCATTAAAAAAGATGTTGTAGTACTATTAGTATGAATGTGGAGTCCTTGGGGTTCTCTGAGCTTGGTTCTTTTCTTGCATGAATGTGTATGAATGTGTTACTGTAATGTTGATATCTAATTTACTACCAAGCTTTAACTAACTTTTTTTCCCCTTTGCTTGATATTTTAGGGTAGAGCTTTGCTGCACTGGGCATGTGATAGAGGACATAAAGAACTTGCTACAGTACTTCTCCAACACACTGCTGATGTTAATAGCCAGGTATGAACTGGAGCTGCAATGAATGTGTTACACCTTATATATTTTGGAGTTAAGCAAATACAATAGAATATTTTCAGTTGTACTGCTTAGGTATTTGCAGTATTCTTTGATTATTCTTTTGTGTTACTTTGGTGCCTTTTAGTGGCCTAAGAAGGTCTTTTAATAACTTATTTCTCACCAAAACTATATCAGACTTCATACAGAACATTTTTTTAAACTGACATGGATGTTTCTGGTTTGAAAACAGGAATGACAAGGAAATGATTATTTAACTCTTATAACTTAAATTTCTTCTCACATTGATCCACTCAGAATTCTGCTTTCCTGTTAGTATGTTCATGTGGGGAGGCATGGAGAATGGCTGATATCTTTATTTCTGTGGTGGGGAAAAAAACAGATTAAAGAGTATACTCTTAAGTGAATGGAAAGAAAAGAGTAAGCAGCTCCTTCCTTTCCTGTCTTCCTGTTTCTTCTTACAGGAATGAATTGAGATAGGAATGGATTCAGATGGAAGAATTCTTGAGAAACAAGTCAGATGGTTTGATAGGTGAAAGCATTGGCTGTTATGAAATAGCATAGCATATCACAATGTAGGTTGAAAACAGAAGAGCGAAACTAAGATGAAGAACGAATGAATGAGTGAGTGAATTAAAAACAGAATGGAAAGTTTGTTTAAAATACTTGGTCTCCATCTATGAGACCTAAAGCTGATGCAGAAAGAGAACTACTGCATAAGCTTACGGGCAACATGATTATGCTAATATGAAATGGAAAGGGGACTTCTAATAGAATCAGGAGCCCTCATTAGGAACTGTACTCCTGAGCATATACAGAGTGCTAAAAGAATACTGAGTACATAAGCAGCAGCAGGTCTCATTCAAAAAGAAAAATGCTCAAAATATAGTCGTCTTAAATGCAGAGTCTGGGCTTAGCCCAGCAGTCACTCAGTGACTCTACATGCGTTATATTAGATATGCGTTGTGTTAGAAGTAAGCAGTAGATTTATTAAATCGTGCATAGAATATGAGAGCCTTACTTCTATGTAAAGGCTTTTTAAAGAGAAGGAAGTACAGTGGTACCTCTACTTACGAACGCCCCTACTTACGAAATTTTCGAGATACGATCAACTCCAGCCCCAAAAATTTACCTCTACTTACGAATTCGCCTTGACTTACGAGCCATTTTCCGCCCATTCCACATGGTCCGCGGCCATTTTTCCACCCGTTCCACATGGTCTGTGGCCATTTTCCGCCCGTGCCACGTGGTCCGCGGCCATTTTTCTGCCCTGCCGCGTGGTCAGCAGCTGTTTTTCCACCCCTGCCGCGCGGTTCGTGGACGCCGGAACGGATTAACGGTAATTACATTGAACCTTATGGGAAAATTTACT